ACTGCAACCTCTGCCTCCTGGGTTCAAGTGATTCTCCCACCTCAGCCTCCTGAGTATCTGGGATTACAGGTGCCTGCCACCATGGCTGGCTACTTTTTGTAGTTTTAGTAGAGATGGCGTTTCACCCAGGCTGGTCTTGAACTCCTAACTTCAAGTGATCTGCCCGCCTCAGCCTCCCAAAGTGCTGGGGTTATAGGTGTGAGGCACCGCCCAGCCCTCTCTGTCTTTTTATATAGACACACAGATACATGTATATGCCCACACACTTTTTTTTTTTTTTTTAAACAAAATCGGCCTCATACTCTGCACTAAGTTTTGCTGTTTACTAAATGAAGAATCTTGGTCCAGGCATGGCAGCTCATACCTGTAATCCCAGCACATTGGGAGGCCAAGGCAGGAGGATCACTTGAGCCCAGGAATTGGAGACCAGCATGGGAAACATGACAAGACCCTGTCTCTACAAAAAAAACCTAGCTGGGTGTGGTAGTGCACGCCTGTGGTTCCAGCTATTTGGGAGACTGAGGTGGGAAGATTGCTTGACCTCAGGAAGTTGAGGCTGCAGTCAGCTATGACTGCACCACTCTACCCTAGCCTGGATGACAAAGCGAGGCCCTCGCAAAACAAAACAAAACAAAAAAGAATGTTGCTCCCTGACACGTAACATACTACATACTGGTTATTCCTGAGGGTGGATTCCAAAGCATACACGTGCCACAAATTAAAGGGAAGGCTTTGTGTGATAAGAACAAATAAGGATGCATTCACAGGGTGATAAGAAACCCCCAGAGGTGGTTCAGGAAGAGAGAGACCTAAGCAAAGAGTGCCTCCTGGAGGGGCAGAGAGGGCACGGCTGGGTGGCATCTGAGGCACAGGTGCGGAGGGAGGTCTTGGCCACTTCTAAAAGAGTATTACACTTCCTGATTTCCTGATCTTGGTACACACTTAGAAAAAATTATAAAACAAATGCACACTTTAAGAAGGCAGGGGGACCAGGCATGGTGGCTCCTGCTTATAATCCCAGCACTTGGGGAGGCTAAGACAGGAAGACTGCTTAAGCTGATGAGTTCAAGACCAGCATGGGTAACATAGCAAGACTCTTTTCTACTAAAAATAATTTTAGTAATTAAAAAAAAATGATTAATTTTTTTTTTTTTTTTTAAGACAGAGTCTCACTCTCTTGCCTAGGCTGGAGTGCAGTGGCACAATCTTGGCTCACTGAAACTGCAGCTTCCTCAGTTTAAGAGATTCTCCTGCCTCGGCCTCCCAAGTATCTGGGATTACAGGCACCCACCACCACACCTGGCTAATTTTTGTGTTTTTGGTAAGGATGGGGTTTCACCACATTGACCAGGCTGGTCTCAAACTCGTGACCTCAGATGATCCACCCACCTCGGCCCCTCAAAGTGCTGAGATTACAGGCATGAGCCACCGCACCTGGCCTAAATAATTTTTAAAACCAGAGAGAAAATAAGTCCCCTGGTATCCTATCAGCCATTTAATATATGTTTTTCCTGATAGCAGTCACAATCCATGCATACATCTGTCTATATGGGAATATATTGGTTATTAGAAAATATCCTTAAAGTTTAGTTTTATCTGCTAACGACTGAAGATGTGGTGGGAAACTTGGGAAAAGAAACTTGTAACTTTCTTTTCCAACATTACAAGGGTAGGTCTATTACAAGGAGGCCACATGGGTGTAAGGCGTGGCCTACCCCACCCCATTCCAGCTCCACAGGGGACAGTGTCTTGCTGTGACATCCGGTGGGGTCAAGAGTGGAAGACCCCACCACTCACCAGCCTTGAGCTCACTTACAGAACAAACACTGAACAGAGAACAGAGGCCTTGGAAACTCACTCAGCCCTCAAGCTGTAAGGAGGCAGGTTCAAACCCTGGAACTCCTGCCCCGAAGGGGGCCTCTATGCACTAAGCAACCCTGATGTTATTTTCACAAGTAACCTCTTTTCTAGAGTTGCCGATCTCATCAAGAGAACAGGCTCACATAGTCTGTTCCTAGAACCAGTTTCCTTTAAAGGGTCTGTCTCCTCAGTCAAGTGCTTTGTTCAACTTGCTGGTTCTTCTACTCCAGGGCACTTACACAAAGCGAGTGAGGGTTGTTACTTTCTTTTCCAACATTTAACAGTTTGAGCATGCCATTATTTTTCTTGTATGTACTGTACTCAGATGCATAAATAGAAAAAAAAAAAACACACACAGGTTTCACCTTCAGTCATATTATACTGAGCTTGCTAATAAATTATCACACCTGGGGGAAAGTGAGTTCTGGTCTCAAGGGGTTGTCTCCATGAAGGCTGACAGAGTAGGGAGGACAGAGAGGTGTCAGGGTCATGAGAGAATGGGAAGAATCAAAGAGGAAAAAAAATAACACAGACCAGAAGCGCATGGAGAGTAAGTCAAGTTCAAGTTGTGGGCTCCAGTGGAGAGAAGGCAGAAGTTCCTGCTGTGTTTGGCTCCTGCCTGGGGGGCTGAGGTGACTGCCCTGCGCACTAGATTTTTTGGGTTTTTTAATTTTTTTTTTATTTTTGAGTCAGAGTTTCAGTCTTGCTGACCAGGCTGGACTGCAATGGCACAATCTCAACTCACTGCAACCTCTGCCTCCCGGATTCAAGCAATTCTCCTGCCTCAGCCTCACAAATAGCTACGATTACAGGTATGCACCACCACACCCAGCTAATTTTTGTATTTTTTAGTAGAGAAGGGGTTTCACCATGTTGGCCAGGCTGGTCTCAAACTCCTGACCTAGGTGATCTGTCCACCTCAGCCTCCCAAAGTGCTGGGATTATAGGCGTGAGCCACCGAGCCTGGCCATTTTTTTTTTTTTTTTTTTGAAGGCTTTTTCTATTTAACATCTCATTGATTCACATAATACAAAATTCGACAGATAACAAAACTTTTTTAAAAAATTCTTTAAACAGTATTTTAGTTAGGTGAAAAAGGTGTTCTAAAATGTAAATAGGTTATCATTTTGTTACCCCTGCAAGGAGATGTTTTTAGGTGTCAAGGCAATTATCTCTGCAAGCCACCTGACAGGCAGTGTCCTTCTTGGGGACCAACTGCACCCCCTCCCACTGCACGGAGAGGTGGGATCCTATTGTTCTCTTCCTTCCACCCCGTAGGATCGCACATACGCCAGCCCAGCACCCACCACAAGGCCCCGACCCATCCAAACACCAGTCATTCTAAGAACCTGGCACTGGAACAGTCCAACCATTCATTGGGCTGTGAAACAGTCAGTAAGGGACTGTCTGCGCTGGGCTTCCTGGTGTCATTTCCCAACCAGCTAAGCTAATGCATGCTTACGTGTTAGACTTAAGTGCTGGACTGCCACACAGACTCAGGGTTGGTTCCCAGCTTTTCATAAAACCACCTCAGCTCAGAGCTGGGACCTCCACATCACAGGCAGGGTGATCACACAGCAGTGCAGAGGTAGTGAACACAGATGAGAATCTTTAGCACCTCTGAAAGAATCTCCTAGACTCGCCTCCTTAAATGACTCACAAACTCTTCTCCAGTGAAAAACTGGGAAAGGCGGAGAGCCCTTCAGCGCCCGCAGGTACTTTACTGCCCAAGAAGAAGTTCAGGCTGGACCTGAGGATGGACCGTGGGGCGGCCTCTGCTTTGGCTTCCGCAGGACAGACCACGGGGGAGCAGGGAGTCCAGCAGTCCCAGTCCTGCTTGGGTTTGCACGGGGAGGCCTGTTGGTGGCTCGCTGGCATTTGAGCCCTGAAACACATAAAGAAGGTTGGCTTAGCAGCAGTTCCCGCTGCTGTGGAGTTCAGTCTCGGCTTCCGTGGACCACACTGCCGGCCACTCGAGGGCGCTGCCACACACACACTCTGGGAATCCAGTCACAGCCAGAGACACTGCTTCCTCCAGCCCTCAGTGCTGGGCTGATGTCACCATCTAGGTCTTCCAAGCCTGTGGCCCTCCCAGCTACCTAGACACCTCCCACTGGACATCCACAGGTGTCACCCACCCATGAATCCCTGAAGGGGCCCGTCAGTTTCCTCCACACAAACCTGCTTGCCCACCAGGGTGTCCTTCCACCGCCGGGCACCACTGACCACCTGTCACCGGGGCTGCCCCACTCCTCGGGCTTGGAACCAACACTTCCCTCCTGTCCAGGAGCCTAGGGAAGCCTCTCAGTCTATAGATTGTCCCTATCTGGGTCCTGGCAGCCCCCCTTACTGCCTGCTGCCAGCCGGGCTCAGGACCCATCTTCTACTTGGCCACTACTGCCCTCTTCCCTATGCAAATTGGATCTTTGCCGTCCCCTACTTTTAAATCCTTCTGTGTCTACCAATAATAGCAATAATAGCAAAAGAGACCACACCTCCTGATGCCCACCATGTGCCAAGTACCATGCTACTGGCTCTCAGAAGCTCAGGGAAACCCAGAGAGGCCAGGGATCATCTTTGCCGACCAAGTGAGGAAGCCAAACCCCACGATTTTCAGGATAATGCCCAACCCTGGTAACAGGAGCCAGGCCATGAGCTCTGGCTCAGTTTTCAGAATTCAGGAAGTAGCAGCATCCCCTGGGGTCTGTCAATGCAGACTGCTGGGCTCCGCCCCGGAGATTGTGACTAAGTACATCAGAGGGTGAAAGACAGGGAAGCTCCATTCCCAGGCACCCAGCCAGTACCCGCACGCTGCAAGGAGCTCTGCCACCCCTGCCCCTCGAGGGCCCCCCTCTTTCCTTCAGGCACCCCAGTGCTGTCTGACACTCCCTGGCCCTCACCCTGGCCACTCTGTCTGGGGCACCTTTCCCTGTGTATCCAAGGCCTTTCTGCTCCTCCACCATCAGCACTGCCCTCAGACCCACCGGATGGGAAGGCTTCCCAGGCCCCAGGGCAAGTCAGCCTGGGTGACAGCTGTCACCAGGTGCACCGGGACCTCTGACTGGCTCAGCTGCCTCCCATGAGACAGGGTCCCTGCACCCTGGGGCAAGCTACTTGCTTGGCGTTCAGCCAGCTGTTTCTAGAATGCTGTGTGAAAGCTCATCAGATGAGAGAGGTGCCCATCTGGCCCACACACCCACAGCCAAAGCATTTACCTGGACGTGGGAAGCAGACACATCAGCGCTCGAGTGAAGATCTTCGAGGTCACCCACTGCAGCCACTGGATGTCGTCGGGAATATCCAGAAGCCATGTCACCAGTCTGCAGGGACCAGACCAAGTCCACAAACACCCAGGCAGACACACAGCTTACACTGCCACTGTTTGTTTACCTAAGCTGCCAACGTCACCTCTAACCCCAGTCTGATGAGTTCCCAGAAGGTCATCATGCTAGGACAAAGATGAGCCCACCTGAAATCTCTAAAGCAAAATGAGGCCACTTCTGGTTCCAGAAAACTCATCTTGGCCTCCCAAAATGCTGGGATTACAGGCGTGAGCCATCGCACCAACTTTCAGATAATTCTAAAGGGAAACAGGTCAGAGGGGCAGCAAGGATTCTGCTTCTAGGCCTGGCCCTTCTGCTAGGCATCTCTGTGACCTCAGAGTGGTGACCCCAAGCTCTCCAGGCCTCAGCTCCCTCAGGCAATCATGAGAGACTGGACCAGCTGCTATGTAAGGCCACTGACAGCTCTAGGAGACCCCAGAGGGAGTTTCTGGGCTTGCACTGAGTTACACGTGCATTCGTGGCCTGAAGACAGGTGGGCAACGTTGAGGGACGTTGCATCAAGCCTGTGAGCTGTGATCTGCCAGGCCTCAGGCTATGGGCCTTCATCTGTCGTCTTGTTTCATCCTCCTGTCAACCCTGTGAGGAAGGCTCAGAGCCAGCTCAAAAGCTCACCTGTGGACAATCGAAATGGCAGACTCCACGGGCAGGGTACAAGGCAGCATCACGTAAGACATGACCCTAACGGGTAGCCAGTTGCAAATGTTGCTCATGTATCCAGCTCTGTCTTTCAGTGCTTCACTCAGTGCTGAAAAAGACAATTTGGAGCTATTGTCTCCCAGCAGTGTGAAAAACCAAATCACTTTACTGGTGGTGCTTGGCATTTCCATGAAATACACCTGTCCTGGCAGCCAAAGGGTCAGAGGCACTCACAAAGGAGACACGAGGTGGGGTTTGTCAGGCTGCTCCTTTCTTTTCTTTTTGGACTAAGTCTTTTTCTGTCACCAAGGCTGGAGTGCAGGGGTGAGATCTCAGCTCACTGCAATCTCCCCCTCCCAGGTTCAAGCAATTTCTCCTGCCTCAGCCTCCTGAGTAGCTGGGATTATAGGCGCCTGCCACCACACCCAGCTACTTTTTGTATTTTTAGTAGAGACGGGGTTTCACCATGTTGGCCAAGCTGGTCTCAGACTCCTGACCTCATGATCTGCCCGCCTCAGCCTCCCAAAGTGCTAGGATTACAGGTGTGAGCCGTGAGCCACAGAGCCCAGCTTCTTTTTTTTTTTTTTTGACAGGACAGTGTTTCGCTTTTGTTGCCCAACTCTGGAGTACAATGGCATGATCTCAGCTCACTGCAACCTCCACCTCCCAGGTTCAAGGAATTCTCCTGCCTCAGCCTCCTGAGTAGCTGGGATTACAGGCGCCTGCCACTACACCCAGCTAATTTTTTGAATTCTTAGTAGAGACGGGGTTTTGCCATGTTGGCCAGGCTAGTCTCAAACTCCTGACCTCATGTGATCCACCCACCTTGTTCTCTCAAAGCACTGGAATTACAGGCGTGAGCCACCGTGCCTGACCCAGGCTGCTCCCTTCACAGCAAGGGCAGTGTGAAGCTCAAGCAGGGCACACCACCCAGAACAGCCCTGAGAGTGCTTACAGGACACAGGGTCCCCACTCCCAGTTCCCTTAAATTGACAAATACGCTTGGAAGTCACCATTCCAGAAAGCCTGCTTTTATTTCCCTTGAAAAGACATGTCCATTTCCAATATCATAGCTGCAATTAAATAGAAAATGGTGCGTAAGTCATGAGGCAAAGCATCATCTTGTATTAAGAAATCTGAATATACCCCAGAGCAAATAATGTGCACAGGAACGGCTACATCGGGCCGGTGCGGTGGCTCATACCTATAAACCCAGCACTTTAGAAGGCCAAAGTTGGTCCATCACTTGAGGTCAGGAGTTCGAGACCACCCTGGGCAACGTGGTGAAACAACATCTCTACTAAAAACACAAAAATTAGCTGAGTGTGGTGGTGCATGCCTATAATTCCAGCTACTCAGGAGGCTGAGGCATGAGGATCATTTGAACCTGGCAGGTGGAGGCTGCAGTGAACCAAGATCACACCACTGCACACTCCAGCCTGGACAACAGAGCAAGACTCTTACCTCGAAAAAAAAAAAAATCTACATCAAATGTCACAGCATCTATGTTCTCCTAGGAACTTCTCAGCCACCACTGACTTTACAAGCTGGTCCTTGACCCTCTGCTGGATTCCAGAGCCTTCTTCCTGGAGCCCCAGTCTTTTACTCCCTCTCTTTAATGACCTCGTGATGCCTCAGGTCATATTAATCTGGCAACATGGTTTGGATCTGTGTCCCCACCCACATCTCATGTCAAACTGTAATCCCCAGTGTTGGAGGCGGGTCCTGGTGGGAGATGATTGGATCACCAGGTCGGGTTTCCCCAGTGGTGCTGTTCTCTTGATAGTGAGTGAGTTATCCTGAGATCTGGTTGTTTAAAAGTGTATGGCACTGGCCGGGCGTGAAAGCTCATGCCTGTCATCCCAGCACTTTGGGAGGCCGAGGAGGGCAGATCACGAGGTCAGGAAATCAAGACCATCCTGGCCAACATGGTGAAACTCCGTCTCTACTAAAAACACAAAAAAATTAGCTGGGTGTGGTGGCGCACGCCTGTAGTCCCAGCTACTTAGGAGGCTGAGGCAAGAGAATCGCTTGAATCCAGGAGGTGGAGGTTGCAGTGAGCCAAGTTCACATGACTGCACTCCAGCCTGGGCAACAGAGTGAGAAGCCATCTCAAAAAAAAAAAAAAAAAAAAAAAGTTTATTCTCTCTCTGTCTCTCTCTCTCTCTCTCTCTCTCTGTGCTGCTGCAGCCACCTTCACCTTCTGCCACGACTGTAAGTGTCCTGAGGCCTCTCCAGAAGCTAAGCAGATGCCAGCACCATGCTTCCTGTCCAGCCTGTGCAGCTGTGAGCCAACTAAACCTCTTCCTTTATAAATTACACAGTCTCTGGTTTGTTGTTGTTACCGTTGTTGAGAGGGAGTATTGCTCTTGTTGCCCAGTCTGGAGTGCAATGGTGCGATCTCGGCTCACTGCAACCTCTGCCTCTGGGATTCAAGCAATTGTCCTTCCTCAGCCTCCCAAGTAGCTGGGATTACAAGCACCCACCACCACGCCCAGCTAACTTTTGTATTTTTGGTAGACTCGAGGGTTTCACCTTGTTGGTTAGGCTGGTCTCACACTACTGACCTCAAGTGATCCGCCTGCCTCAGCCTCCCAAAGCGTTGGCATTACAGGTGTGAGCCCCCGTGCCTAGCCAGGTATTTCTTTATAGCAAAGCAAGAACAAACGAATGCACCTGGGCAGTTGCTGTCTCCCATCTCCTACGGTGCTGGGACCTCAAGAACAAGGAATTACATCTGACTCATTTTTTAATTTCTCCAAATGCCCACAGCTGGTTTGCGGGTTCTTCTGTCTGTCTGAGTTAGACCATGTCCAGGTTATTCTAACAAAATGCCACCAATTGAGTGGCTTATAAAATAACTAACATTGATTTTTCAGAGTTCTAGAGGCTGAGAGGCCCCAGATCAAGGGCAGCAGACGTGCTGGTGTCTGGTGAGGTCCTGCGTCTTCGTAGACACCACCTTCCTCATCCTCACATGGTAGAAGGCACAAGGGACCTCTCCTGGGTCCCTTTAATAAGGGCACTAACCCATTCATGTAGGCCCGGTCCCCATGACCTCATCTCCTCCCAAAGGCTCCACCTCCTAAGACCATCATGTTGTGGGGTTAGGATTTCAACAGATAAATTTCAGGGGGAACACAATAATTCGGACCATAGCGCCATCTGTCCACTCAATATTTGATGACCTTATAAAATACAGAACCATTTGCCAGGTACAGTGGCTCACACCTGTAATCCCAGCACTTTGGGAGGCTGAGGCGGGTGGATCATGAGGTCAGGAGATCGAGACCATCCTGGCTAACAAGGTGAAACTCCATCTCTACTAAAAATACAAAAAAAATTAGCCAGGCTTGGTGGCACACAGGTGTGATGCCTCACACCTGTAATGCCACCTGTAGTCACAGCTACTCAGGGGGCTGAAGCAGGAGAATCTCGTGACCCCGGGAGGCAGAGGTTGCAGTGAGCCAAGGTCGCACCATTGCACGCCAGCCTGGGCGACAGAGTGAGACTTTGTCTCAAAAAAAAAAAAAAAAATCAAAAAATTAGCAAGGTGCGGTGGTGCATGCCCACTGCGTAGTCCCAGCTACTCGGGAGGCTGAGGCAGCAGAATTGCTTGAACCCGGGAGGCGGAGGTTACAGTGAGCTGAGATCATGCCACTGCACTCTAGCCTGGGTGACAGAGCAAGACTATCTCTCAAAAAAAAAAAAAAAAAAAAAACCCAAAAAACAAAAAACATTACTATCCAATGGAGGTTCCATGGAGGTGGGTTTAGGGGAAGGGGGAAACTAGGAGAGGCCTCAAGAAAGGCATATGGAGAGTAGCGGCCAGGAAGGAGCTCTGAGTAATGGGCCAAGTCCCTGAGGCAGGACCCCCATCCCTGGGGTCCATGAAATCCAGCATGGCGGGAGCTTAGGCGCCATGTCAGGGAGACAGGGTTGGAAAGGAGGCCCTGGCTGCTGCAGACAGGAGCCTGTACGGGGAACCCCAGTGGGCTCGGCTGGGGTTTGTTTTCCTCCCGGTCATGACCCCAGGGGAAGGAACACATGGCAAGGTGCCAGGATGGGGGGAGGCCTGCGCTGGGGGTGTAGGCAGCAGTCAGGGCTGTGCAATGGAAGGGGATGTTCCCGACCGCCTGTCATGGTTACCTCGCCCCATTGCTCCCATGTGGCAGCACCACCTTCCTTCACAACACGCAAGAAGGAAAACAAGGTGCTGCCCGTGCCCACCCCGAGGAGTGGGTACCTGAAGCGAGCTTGGGCGAGAGGGTGTCCAGGATGCTCTCATCCCAGGGCAGGATGCTGAGACGCAGGTGGTCCAGCAGCTCATCTCCCTCCAGCCTCACAGCCATGGCAGCCAGCTCTGGGGAAGACTCCAGGCTCATGTTTTCCCAGGCAGGCACGGTGACCTCAGAACCCATCCCTCCTGAGGATGACTTCAGACCAGGCTGGGGCCTGCTGCAGATGCCTATGAAGGGCACAGAAAACAAGCCCATTAGGCGATAATGTGGGGAGTGGGGACCATTACCCACCCATCCACCAAATGGCAGGGAGGCAGGCTGCTGGCCTGTTACCAGCCAAATGCAAGGGGGACGGGGGAAGGGAAGAGAACAAGGGCAGGTGTTTGCCACCCGGAGAAAGGAGTCTGAGGGTTTAAAGCAAGACACACATGAGCTTGGCTCCTGCTAGCTGTGTGGGCTCCATCTCCACATCTGGATACATGAGGTGCAAAGGTGGGAGTTAGTGTTCATTTACAACATCTGAACCACTGGCTACACCTGCCTCCCAGGCCCTGAGCCAGGCACTTCGCCATCAGGCCTTACAGCAACTGTTACTATCATCTCCATTTTGCAGCTGAGAAATCAGAAGCACAGAGAGGTTAAGACACTTATCTAAAGTCACACAGCCAGTACATAACAGAGCCAGGATTTGAAGCTGGGTCTGAGGTCAAAAAGGGTACTCTTCCATCACACAGCCTTGGAAGAAGCACCCAGCAAGGGAGGACTGGGCACCTGCATGTGCCAGGCCCTGCCCTGGGTGCTGGGACTCAGCTACCAGCACCAGTGAGTAGCCCCCGCTCTTACAGCATTTGCAGGCTGGGTGGGAGGAGGGGGGCTTCAGATGCCCACAGCTGCACATGGTCCGACTCTGGCTTCCAGCCTCAGGCTGAAAAGACCAGGGTCTGCTCCTCACTGCCTGTGCCTCACTCCCCGAGACAACCTCACATTCGTGCTCGCCCCGGCTCTCTCCAGCTTCTATCAGACGCCCTCCTCACCCTTTGAGATGTCCCCTTCCCTTAGGAATGTTTCCAGGTATCTGTTCTCAGGGAGATGGCACCTCCAGCATCTCTGGGACATCAGCTTTTCCTGCCAAACTGGTGCCCTCCTAATGTCCTCAACCCTCAACCCATGGGCACAGCCCTCCGTCTTCCCTTGCCCACCTGCTGAAGCCAGAAGCCGGGACTGTGCTCTTCCATCTTCCTCTTCACAAATGTCCCACTGGTCATTTCCAAGTCCTGCTCCCCTGGGGCTCCTTCCTCCTCATGACCCTCACTGCCCCACTGGCCTCCTAGACGCTGGTCCCTCCCTTCCTGCCCCACAGCCAGGGGGCTCCCAAAGCTCTCCCCTGATCCCCTCACTCCAGACCACAGCAGCCCTCAATGGCTCCTGACTGCTACGGGACGCACCCCCCAAATCCAAAAGGCCCAGCCTGCCCTCCTCTCCCATTTTTCACCATTCTTCACCTCCTCTTCTCTAGCCGCCTGTTAGTGTCCCCGCTCCCACCGCTCCAGCTGCGTAGGCCTTCGTTCTGTCCTGTGTCCAGCAGGCCTCGCACCCATGGCCCCCATGCCTAAGGCTCTCCCACTTATCCCCAAAGTCTCAGTGTGGATTCACATCCTCCGAGAGGCCCTTCTTCTCCTGGGGCCTTGGAGATCCATCCAGAATGATCCTCCAGCGTCCTATATCTTCTCCTTGGCACCTGTGCTTTGCCATTGACACAGCATCACCTTCTGCTTACTCATCTGCTCACTTCTCTCACAAGCTGGCAAGGGCCACACCTCCGTGTTCACTGCAGGATCCCTAGCACACAGCAGTGAACATTTTCTGAGCAGATAAATACATGTATGTCCTTATAAATGCAGTCTCCTTGGTCTTGGCCAAGAACAAATTCAGAAGACCAATACGTCAGCCAACTTTTAGTATTAAAGAAAAATAGCTCCCAACACATCTTTTTGGTTTCACTCTAATATTTCTAGAGCAGAACCCCTCCAGCCCCGACAAGTCAGGATGACTTGAAGGCAGAAACTTGCTCTGGGAAGGAGAGTAAACTGGTCTAGTGGGCATGGACCCACACCTGACTGAGGATGAGAAATCTCATTGCTGCATTTGGGGCCCAGGCGCAGAGATGGTTTAACTTCAGCCCTTGTTAAACTAAAGGATCACAAGAGGTCGAGCTGGAAAGAAAAGCCGCCTTCAGAGAAGGGGACCCTGGGGAGGGAGAGCGCCCTGGAATCAAAACATCCCAGTTCAGATCTCGGCTCTGCCCCTCAGGGAGGGGTGTGTGCTGGTGTGTGCTGCTTGGCTTTCCTCTCCAAGCTTCTGTTTCCCCATCTGTAAAATGGGACAGAGGTTTCCTATCTCTGGGGCTCATGAGCAGGTTGAGCAATACAGGGAAGGCACTGGGCATGAAGTGTTAAAACTAAGGCAAATCTCAAGTCTTTACCAAGACTTGACTGACAAGTCAATGCTTGTCAAAAGGGCATATCTGATCTTCCCAGCCCATACATACCCTTCTCTTCCAAGAACCTGAACGCGTCCAAATACCCTCGAAGGCATATCTCTCCCAGCACCTGTGAGCAAAGCAAGCAAAGGGACTACAGCGGGAAGACACGAAGCACCATTTATTTACGCATCATTGGAAGACCGCAGAGGGCACTAAGGAATCTCTGAGCCTGCTGGCTGGGGGTACTGAGCCACCCCGGGGCTGAGCAAACGGCTCTGTGCTCCCGGGAGACAGTTCCCTACAGGTCTTGGCTCCCATGTCACCCCTTCACGGAGACTTTGCTGGCACCCCGCCAAGGCAGGAGCTTGTTTCTTTTTTTTCTTCTGTTTTAAGACAGAGTCTCGCTCTATCACCCAGGCTGGAGTGCAGTGGCGTGATCTCGGCTCACTGCAACCTCTGCCCAGCCCCGGTTAAAGTGATTCTCCTGCCTCAGCCTCCCAAGTAGCTGGGATTACAGGCACCCGCCACCACACACGGCTAATTTTTGTATTTTTAGTAGAGACGGGGTTTCATCATGTTGGCCAGGCTGGTCTTGAGCTCCTGACCTCAAGTGGCCCACCCGCCTTGCCTCCCAAAGTGCTGGGATGACAGGTGTGAGCCACCGCACCTGGCAGGAGTTTGTTTCTTTGGGCTCCCATGGTCCCAGGATAAGCCTCCACTCTAACAAATTCTGCAGCTAGTCCCAATTGTTGTTACGACAATAAGAGCTGTCTCCTCTACTCATCTGCTTATAAAGCACACAGGAAAACCCATTGTGTTAGATAGCCTTCCCTCTCCCTTGGGCTGTGGGCCTGCCTTGCATGCATTGCTCCCTTTCTTTTTCCCCAGGAGCACCCAAGGTTGGTGTACACGGTCTGCGATGCTCTTACTATGGTAGAGTGGTAAGGCATACCGAAACAACTACAATCAAAAAAAGGTTAAACTACCACATGCAGTTGTTCTTGACCATGTTTGCAAGTAAGAATCATTACGGCCGGGTGCGGCGGCTCACGCCTGTAATCCCAACACTTTGGGAGGCCAAGGCGGGCTGATCATGAGGTCAGGAGTTCGAGACCAGCCTGACCAACATGGTGAAACCCCATCTCTACTAAGAATACAAAAATTAGCTGGGCATGGTGGTGCATGCCTGTAATCCCAGCTACTTGGGAGGCTGAGGCAGGAGAATCGCTTGAACCTGGGAGGAGGATGTTGCAGTAAGCCAAGATCATGCCACTGCACTCCAGCCTGGGTGGCAGAGTGGGTCTCCTTCTCAAAAATAAATAAATAAAAGAATCATCTTAGTGGCTGGGTACAGTGGCTTATGCCTATGATCCCAACACTTTGGGAGACTGAGGTGGGAGGATAGCTTGAGGCCAGGAGGGTGAGACCAACCTGGGCAACACTCTACAAAAAAAATTTAAAATTAGCCAGGTGCGTGCCTGTGGGTCCCAGCTACTCGAGAGGCTGAGGTGGGAGGATGGCTTGAACCTAGGAGTTTGAGGCTTCAGTGAGCTATGACTGCACCACTGCACTCCAGCCTGAGTGACAGAGCAAGACCCTGTCTCAAAAAAAAAAAAAATCGTCTTTATAAGTAAACAAAAAAATCCTGAGGCCCATGCTGCACCCCTGACTGTAGACACAGCCTGGGAAGTGGGTCTGAGTTTGAGGTCTGGGGTATATGTTCCCAGGTGATCCCCATAATCAGGGTGGTGCCTCACCTGAGCTTCTGGGACAAGTGCATTTTATTTCTGTTAACCATCAATGATAAGGTCTATTTCTGTTTGATTGTGCAGAGAGCAACCGGTATCTCCTGGCAACCAGGGAGGCAAAGAAGAGCTGCACCCCAGAACCACCCACTCCCCCACCCACTCACCTTGAGATCCGGGGGGACAAATGCCATCAATAGAAGGTGGAGGTTCCCCGAGCAGAGGCGCAGGCTGAGCTTGGTGATGTCCACGTGGAGAAAGTTCGTGGACTTGACTTTAGGGCAGATGTCGTACTCCCCATAGAAGGGGGACACGGTGATGGTTGTTTTGGCATCAATGAAGGGCATGCTGTCACTCATTCCTCCATCCATGTATCGCTTTTAAAGAAGGAAAAAAGGACTGGCGCTAGCTGAGGCTCTGGGTTATATGCGGATAGAGGCTTCTCAGAGCTGCCGGCAGGCTGATATGCAGGGAGGACGACAGCTTTGGAATCGCTCCTGTGACAAATCCTTACTGAGCACTCCTGTGCTAGACCGGGCTCTACTCTGGCTCTCAGGGCTGCTGTGTACTGTTGTACAGTGTGTGCACTGCACAAATATGCCTGGCAAAGAGGCACATGGCGATTGGAGTCCATGTTGTGCTGGCCAAGTCCTAGGGCTGGATGGGCACCCATAGGAGTGCCCTTGTAATGTGCCTAAGAGGGTCATGTGAACTAGGGGTGCTCAATGCACTAGGGACAGAATGTGATAGAAACCCAAAGGAGATAAATGGTCATGGTTCCAATCCACCCCTTGCTGCTTGCAAGGAAGATACACAAATCTGGGCAAGATCTTTAACCTGTGAGCCTGTCTTTCTCCACGCCTTGATGATCAGAACCACCTGGAGGGACTTTTGAGCCTTTTCTTTTTTCGAGACAGAATTTCACTCTTGTTGCCCAGGCTGGAGTGCAATGGCACGATCTCGGCTCATTGCAACCTCTGCCTCCCGGGTTCAAGCAATTCTCCTGCCTCAGCCTCTCAAGTAGCTGGAATTACAAGCACGCGCCACCACACCTGGCTAATTTTGTATTTTTAGTAGAGACGGGGTTTCTCCATGTTGGTCAGGCTGGTCTTGAGCTCTCGACTTCAGGTGATCCGCCTGTCTCGGCCTCCCAAAGTGCTGGGATTACAGGTGTGAGCCACTGTGCCCAGCAACTTTTGACACTTAAATGAAACAAATGAACCTGGGACCTCAGAAAATGTCCTCAAACCCACAATAAAGCAGCATTTTGGATAAATTATTCTAAGGATGAGTTTTCCTTTCCTCTATATCCTTAAACAACCTTATTGCCCATAGCTCAGCTGGGGCAGGCAGCTTTTGCTACAATTTGGACTGAGCTTGCACCTGTGAAACTTGTGTCTATGATTTCCAGCCACAGCCGTCACAGCCAGCCACCAGACGCCCACAGAGGAAGGCCTCCAAAAGATTACAGCTGGGACACTCTCCCCAGTCCACCCTTCCACACAGAGGAATTTCAGAGCAGAATTTGGCCTAAAACAGGTCCAGGAAAGAATCAGGCATGATTAGCCACACCTTTGCCATCAAGATTCTTGCCAGAAGTCCAGAAATGATCAGGAGTATACACAGCAACATTTCCAAAACTGTAGCCACACAATTTCTAGGGCAGATGTAGGAAGGTATCACAAACCTCACAGCAGCTGGGCACGGTGGCTCACACCTGTCATCCCAGCCCTTTGGGAGGCTGAGGCATGTGGATCACCTGAGGCCAGGAGTTTGAGACCAGCCTGGGCAACATGGTGAAACTCTGTCTCTACTAAAAATACAAAAATTTAGCTGGGCATGGGGGCATGCGCTTGTAATCTTAGCTGCTCAGAGGGGCTGAGGCACAAGAATCACTTGAACCCAGGAAGCGAGGGTTGCAGTGAGCTGAGATCGCACCACTGCACTCCAGTCTAGGTGACAGAGTGAGACTCTGTCTCAAAAAACAAACAAAAACCATGGCATAAAGGGACACAGAATGAAACACCAGGAATCTGGAGTGAAGACCAAGGAGGAAGGAGGCTGGTAGATCATGTTCATTCAAGGGGTAGTCTGCAGCCCAGATGCTCTCCTGCCATGTAGAACTTTTCCACGCATTTTGAGCTTTTTTATAGGAATGTTTTGAATTTAGGAGCTCCAGTGGTGCAATCGTTTGGCGCATGGTACGTACACAGTAATGTTTTGAATTTGCATGCGTTGAATTTCAAGAACAGTGTGCTCGAACCTTCAGCAGGATTCCCATGAGCGTACCCAGTGGGTGATGATGCAGCATCCCTGGTCTCCATGCACCAGATGCCAGTGGCACTCCCCCAGTGGTGACAACCCAAACTGTCTTCTGACGTGGCCAGACATCCCCAGCAGGGGTTAGGGGAGGATGTAAGACTAGCCAGTGGCCCGGCACAGACCCAGTGCCTAGTCCTGAGCCCGCAGAACAAACACTCCCACTTCAGCTTCTCCACCCCCTGGCATGGCTCAGAAATGAGCCAATCACATATTTACTGAACTCAGCCAAATCTGAATACTGCCAGCAGCTTCTGACCAAAGCCATGGGCTGAAAAGGACAGAGTAGGACCCAGAAGGGCTTGAAGCTCTCGATCAAGAGGAAAAGCCAGAACTGTGCACTGGGGAGCCAGGGGCATCATGACGGTGCTGCTGGGTGCACTCCTGCTGAGTTCTGGGGACGATGAAAACCCACGTAAAGCCACCAGCATGACAAGGGGCTGGGGTCCTGCTGATGCCTGACCAAGTGTGGCAACGTCAGAAATCCAAAATGTGCTTTGGTCACTCAGTGGCTGGGCACTCCAGTGGCCCTATGGACCGCTGTCCTGGACCCCAAACTACAGAGGATGAGAAGAGCCGCCCTGCAGGGAACCAGGCAAGACATGCCCCGTTCTGACGGAGGGCAGAGAGTGACCTGGGCACAGGCTCCCTGGCTGTGCTCCTTGGGCAAGGGTGGCTCTCAAGTTCCCCACAGTTGCACGAGATGAATGATCACGTCTCCCCTCCGTTGTGAGGACGCCGTAAGATAATGCGCAGGAGTACATGACCTGTAACGGGAGGCTCGTGATGCGAGTCCCTCCACCACGTGCCTCTGCCAGTGCCGCACGCAGGACTGCATCAAAGGTTCCGCAGCTGCTCTTGTGAGTTCAAAAATGACCCTAAATGGCCAGTATTTTACAGGCCAAACTTCCTCCTGTACATCACAAAGTGGCAAAACAAAACGAAGCACAAATCTAGGTTAGGCCAGGCTTACGGATTGTTTTGTTGTTGTTGTTTGGTTGAGGAAATCTATGACTGCTGGCCAGGCACAGTGGCTCACGCCTGTAATCCCAGCACTTTGCGGGGCTGAGGTGGGAGGATCACCTAAGGTGAGGAGTTCTATACCAGCCTGGCCAACGTGGTGAAACCCCGTCTGTACTAAAAATACAAAAGTTAGCTGGGCATGGTGGTGGGCGCCTGTAATCCAGCTACTCAGGAGGCTGAGAATGGAGAATCACTTGAACCTCAGAGGCGGAGGTTGCAATGAGCTGAGATCGTGTCACTGCACTCTAGCCTGGGCAACAGAGTGAGACTCTGTTTTGAAAAAGAAAAAGAAAGAAAAAGAAAATATATGACTGTTACAGTTCCCCCTAAGAGGAAAGCTCTAAAGGTCTACCTCCCGGGCAACAAGAGTCTTCAGCATCATATCCTCTCTCTCTCTCTCACTCTATTTCTTTCTTTCAAGATGGAGTCTCGCTCTGTCACGCAGGCTTGCACGCACTCGCTCGCTCTCTTTTTCTCTCCTTCTGTCTCTTCTTCTCTCTTTCTCTTGAGATGGAGTCTCACTCTGTCACCCAGGCTGGAGTGCAGTGGGGCGATCTCAGCTCACTGCAACCCTCACCTCCCAGGTTCAAACGATTCTCCTGCCTCAGCCTCCCTAGTAGCTGGGATTACAGGCTCACACCACCATGCCCAGCTAATTTTTGTATTTTTAGTAGAGGCCAAGTTTCACCATGTTGGCCAGGCTGGTCTCAAGCTCCTGGCCTCAAGCCATCTGCCTGCTTCGGCCTCCCAAAGTGCTGGGACTACAGGCATGAGCCACCATGCCCAGCCAATGTCATATAGTTTAACCCGGTCACTGAGAAGCTATGTTTGACACTCATGGAGCAGATTAAGTGAACCAGCTAGTTCGCCTTACAGACAGCGAGATAATTAATTGCACATGAAGTAAGTTTTGCTGTCAGGGTAGCCTGGAAGTTGGGCCAGCTGTGGCTACTCTGTCTGAAAGGCAGCGAGGCACGGGGCTCCGCCACGGGACAGAACCCAAGGTGCCTGACACTAGCGCCTTGCAGGCAGGAGCTGTGTGAGCATGTTTTAGAGGGGAAGCCCCCAGGATTCGGCACTAGCAGAGAAAGCCGACTTACCACGCCTCTGAAGGAAGGAGGGATGAGGCCACTGTAGAAAGGGATGAAGCAGGAACACAATAAGGCCTGTGAAAGCAAAAGAGAGAGAAGTCACAGGCGAGAGCACGCTTTTCATTTCTGTGATCCTTCATAAGCCTTCTCCAAGTGAGCAGGGCAACAAACCTGAAAACACCCTTTGCACAGAGTAGGTTAATCCATGGGTGGAATGAACCATGAACCAACATACACCCTTGGACTCAGGCCCATGGGTCTCATCTATTGCAAAAGCTGCTTAACAACACTGTCAGCAGACTTCCACTTCCTCTCCTTGCTCCACGAGAACCACACTGGGTCACCACAGACAGGACCAAGGGTTGTTGACTCATGGACTGGAAGGAGCTAGACTGGTGCTGTTCAAATGCAGGTATTCATTAGAAGCACCTGGCCAGACACAGTGGCTCATGCCTGTAATCCCAGCACATTGGAAAGCTGAGGCGGGCAGATCATGAGGTCAAGAGATCGAGACCATCCTGGCCAACGGGGTGAAACCCCATCTCTATTAAAAATACAAAAATTAGCAGAGTGTGGTGGTGCCTGCCTATAGTCCCAGCTACTCGGGATGCTGAAGCAGGAGAATCGCTTGAATCCAGGAGGCGGAGGTTGCAGTGAGCTGAGATCATGCCACTACACTCCAGCCTGATGACAGAGCAAGACTCTGTCTTAAAAAAAAAAAAAAGAAGAAGAAGAAGAATCACCTGAGAGCTTCTGGAACTCGAGATTCGGCATCCCTCCCCGGAATTCTCATGCAGCAGGTCTGAGGTGGGGCCTGAGGGTCTGCAATTCTAAGAAGCTCCCAGGAGCTGCTGCTCTGCTGGTCCCAGGACCACACTTTGCAAAGCACCGTGCTACAGAGCAGTCAGCAGGCACCACGCTGATTCACTAGAACAGACCCATGTGGGAACAGACAAGTGCTGGCTGTTTACAGAAAGCTTCTAGAAACAAGGTTAAACAGGGCCGGTTATGCACGCCAGGCTGCTGTCTTGCACAAATCTGTGTTAAGTAAAATCGACTCCTTCATCTAAGGAGTTCTTATGAAAGCATCAGCCGTATCAAATGGTGTTTTGTTACTGCAAATTACCTTCTCTCTGCTAGACCCTGTATTATTTGCCTGTATCCTTCTCTCTGCTAGACACCTTTTCTTACTTGACAACACCCAGATAAGCAAACTGCTTACATCCACGACTTCGTCTTTGGACCAAAAGTGTGACACCAGAACGTTTTCTCCATCAGACACTCTGGTGAGCGAGATGCATATTTTGCCCGAGATTAGCTGGTGGGCGTTGGCTGGGAGGTATTTGTAGAGAATCTGTCGGAGTAACTTGTTTAGGTTGAAGGATGGATGGAAGATGCCGATGTTCCGACTCCTGGCCTTCCGGACAAGGTCCGAGAGGATCCCCAGTAACTGATCTGGGGACAGGGGACAAACATATTAAAGAATGTACCACACTGGGATGGCAATATATTTGGCAAGGCCAGAAACCAGACAGCAAGGATGCCGCCAACCTTCTTCTAGACCACAACTATCTACTACAGTAGCCACGTGTGGCTCTTCAGCCCTTGAAAGCCTCCTCCAACCTGAGATGTGTAAAATGCAAACTGGATTTCAGTGGCTTATGGAATGTCTCATTCGTAATTTTTTATATTCATTAGATGTGAAATGATATTTTGGATTTAGCAGGCTCAATGAAATTAATTCTACCTATGTCTTTTACTTTATTCAATGTGCCTTCTAGGAAATGCACAGTGACATCATGGCTTGCCGTATATTCCTACCAGACAGCACTACTGTAGGCCTCAGCCACAGGAATGAGCCTCTCACTTCCAGAAGCCCAGGTGGGCAGGCCCCACCTCCACGCCTCACAAAGTCAGAAGCCAGGAACATATCAGCATGAGAGCTTTGGTGCAGAAGATATGACCTCACCCACTGACCTGGCCTCTCGGGCTGATCTGTACTCTCCTGCCATGCAGGACAGCCCCTCCCAGCCCGACCCCTTGCCAGCCATAAATCCTGGGATGCACAGGGACAGGCATGCCCCAGCCTGTCCTGACCCAAGTCTGATCTTCACTCACAGCTCTCCTTCCCTGACTGGCCCCTCCAAGCATGGCCAGAAGGGGTGGAATTGCATGTGGCTGCAGGTTCAGCCTGCCCCTCCTGCCAAGTTAGCCTCAGCTCTGAGCATGGAGGAGCTGTGTCCAGGATGCAGCCCCAAGAGCACAGCCCACTGTGAGACATGGAGTTAAAGCAGAAACCTGGAATGCTGGAACATAGGGAGTGGCTCCTCCCAAAGCCTCCAGATCCACTTTCCAGGGACTTGATGGTTCTTGGGCTTCTTCGTGTCCTGCTGGGGAAAGCCCCAGGCTGCAGCTGTCCTCTGCCCAGTAAGGAATGCTTTCTATGCCAGAGTGACTGTACTTTAGGCTCCTGGGATCACTGCATTTGAATTCTGTCCCAGTATAAACATTTGTCCACATGGGTGTCCACAGGTCACCTTGGGATACAAGAGCTGACTTGCATTGTTGATAAAGCCCAAAGTGTGCAGATGATCATGTGGTCAGTCTAATCCTCCTAGAGACTACACTTCCTGCCCTTTGCTCCTCTTCCCCTGGCTGGAGAAGGCAGACAGCCAGAACCGTCTAATCCCTAATCCCCAATCCCCACCTCCCAGTCAGCCCAGGGACTGCTCACTGCTCCTACCCAATGGCAGGGCTTGGTCCACCAGCGGGGACTTCCTCACCACTAAACGGTCACTCCCTGCTGGCTCTGGCAGGCAGGGCAAAGAGTCCATTGTTAAGGAAGCCCAGGTAAAACGGGGCTGATAGGGGCATGATCTCCTGCCTGGGGACCTGTGGGTGTCAACAGCTCCACACTGCTTCTTGCCCTAGCCCCTGCCCACTGGTTCAAAACCCTCTTCTCGCCTCCAGCACTAGACAGCAAATTCCCGGGAAGGATATCACACACCCCAGTAGTTCCCGCTAGTGAGAAACTCCCTCTGCCCCTCCCACAGGTACTCATGTGGACAAATGTTTCATTAGGACAAGATTCAAATACACAGGATCTCACCTCCAGGGGTACTGGGCGGGGGGGGGGGGGGGGGGGCGGGGCCCAGGTCAGGGGAGACTAGAGGAGAGGATGGGATTGGGGGATTGGGGGGTGTCCAGGGATGCACTCCAGCCCCCAGGAAGGGTCCCAAACACTGGAGGAGGAGGAAAAGGAGGAGGAAGACGCCAGTTAGCCTGCCCTGGAGGATGCCCAGGGTCGCCCTTCTGGGAGGCTACCCAGCCCCCAGAAGGCTCGGCTGTGCCCCAAAGAGGGCAGGCGCGGGGTGTCTTGCGTTCCTCAACCCCCAGAGGGAAGGTGCCCACGCTGGGGCACCGGCCAAAGCCCCACTCTTGGTCTCTGGCAAATCACCTGAACCTCCAGAGAGGACACTCCAGACCCGGGGACGGCAGGGGCAAACATTACCCTCAGCCCCGGGTTCCGGTCCCAGGCCCTCGTTGCTCCGAGACGCCCCGGCTCTCAGTCCGGAAGCGAGGGGCTCCCTTCATGCACCGCCGCCAGATGGGGGCAGGGGTGGGGACGCGCGAGAGTCTCAGGCTTCGGAAGCCTGCGCGCCGGCCGGGACCGCTCAGGGGTTCCAAAGCCCCCTTCCCGGGCCCAGGGAACAGCGCCCCCAGAGGAAGCATCTGTCCCGGAGGGGACACCGCCGTGTCCGCGCCTGATCCCCGCTCCTCCCGGGGAACCCCCCTGCCCACCGCTCCCCGGCCTAGGGGGCGCCACCTCCGCGCGCCGAGCCCTGGCGGCGGCCCCGGGACGCACCCAGCGGGATCTTGCAGAGGATGGAGACGCAGTTCAGCGCCCCGGCCGAGGCGCCGAAGAACACGCGCGCATCGCGGAGGAGGTGCGGGGCGTGCTCGCTCAGGCAGCTGGTCGCCCCGGCGTGGTAGAAGCCCAGGAAGCCGCAGCCCGCGAAGGAAAAGCTCCAGCCGCTCTCGGCGTCATACATGGCGGCGGCGGGGCTGGCGGCGCGGGGCTGGGTCTGGGTCGGGATCGGAGATGGGCTCGGGCTGAGATCCGCAGCCGCTAGGCCCAGCGCCGGTGAGCGCTCTGGACCCGGCCTGGGCGTCTCCACCAGGCGGTTCCCGGAGCGACGTCAGCCCCGCCCCCCTCGGACCATGCAAATGAGCCGGCGGGAGGCCCAATGGGCAGGCAGGACACCTTCTCGGGCGGGGCTTGGAGGGGGCTGGGGGCGGTGAGGGGGCGGGGACGGCGCGGGGAGGGGGAAACGAGGACGGGGTAGGGGGATGGGTCGGGGACGGGGGCTGGGAGGGGGCTGGGGGCGGGGACGGGGGCTGGGAGGGGATGGGGGCGGGGACGGGGACGGGGACTGAGATGGGTCGGGGACGGGGGCTGGGAGGGGGCTGGGGGCGGGGACGGGGACGGGGACTGAGATGGGTCGGGGACGGGGGCTGGGAGGGGATGGGGGCGGGGACGGGGAACTGGGAGGAGGATGGGGGCGGGGACGAGGCCTGGAAGGTGGATGGGGGCGGGGACGGGAACGGGGATGGGTCCGGGACGCGGGCTGAGAGGGGGCTGCGGCTGTTTCAGGGGCTGGGAGGGGGATGGGTGCGAGGACGGGGGCTGGGAGGGGAGTGGGGGAGGACGTGTGAGGAGGGGTCCAGCCTGGGAGCTCCCCCCAGCGACTCCGGAGAAAGCATTTTTCCAGAACTCCAAAAGTCACTGCATGTCCTGGAGAGAGAGGCTTCCTTCAGTGTTCCTCGTCATCAGTTTCGTGGGGGAGGTGTGGGAGGGAGTTGCAGTCTGGGCCCACTTGATCCTTAACATCCCTTTGACGCTTTATCTCGTCCTTTCTGACACGGGGAGAGTCAGCCTAAAACAGGTACCAGCACCTGAAGTGTTTAACGTCTTTGCGTTGCTGCAGGCTTTCTGTATGGATTGTCTTCAAGTGGTAGGGATCTTTTTATTGAATGACAGTAACAGGAAGCGTCCGTTTCAAAGTTTCCTTAGAAAGTAAAAAATGTGAATGGCAGGTGCTGGCGCTGGGGTCAGGGCCTGCAGAAACTGGAGGATGGGAAGTGGTTTGGGAAGCTGAGGCCTGGATGATTCCTGCTGCTCGGTCTTTGTCCGTTCAGATGCAAAAACAAAATACTGCAGGCGGAGCAGCTTACAAACCACAGATTTATTTCTCTCCTTTTTCTTCCCCCAGGCTGCAGTGCAACGGCGTGATCTCGGCCCACTGCAGCCTCCACCTCCCTGTTTCAATTGATTCTCCTGCCTCAGCCCCCCAAGTAGCTGGGATTACAAGCATGCACCACCACACCTGACTAATTTTTTTTTATTTTTAGTAGAGATGAGATTTCAACATGTTGGCCAGGCTAGTCTTGAACTCCTGACCTGAAGTATTGCCTGCCTCAGCCACCCAAAGTGCTGGGATTCCAGGCGTGAGCCACCATGCCTGGCTTATTTCCCTATCTCACCATTCTGGAGGCTGGAAAGCCCAAGTTTAGGATGCCAGCAGACTTGGTTCCTGGTGAGGGGCATGGCTCATAGAGGGTGACTTCTTACCACATCCTCACCTCTGGGCCTCTCTGATAAGGGCACCAATTCCATTCATGAGGGTGCCACCCTCTCATCAAATCACCTTCCAAATGTCCCCACCTCCAAAGACCGTCCCCTTAGAAGGGTAGGATTTCAACAGATGACCTTCGTTGGGGATGCAAACATTCAGATTGTAGTATGCCCTTAGGAGATGCCTAAGAGTCCCCTTAACCTTGACTTACCCCTGGCACTGGGTGGAGCAAGCCCACAGCAGTCCACGGGGAGAAGTGAACCCTTGGTCCAGAGCTCCTCACTGGAGGGCCCTGGTCTGCCAGGCCATCCCACCCCCAACTGGAGTGGACCAAGAAGCCCTCCCACTTCTCGGTGAGGCCTGGAGGAATGCAGAGTATGTGAGCTTTGGGTTCAGGCCTCCCCCGTCTCTGCGGCTGTGTCCTTATCTGCTGAATGACTGGCGGTGTTGCTGCCAAGATTTCAAATGTCACTTGAGAAGCACCTGGACTGGTCAGGTGGTTCATGTTCAACAGAGCTTCTCCGATCTGCTGCAGGACACTTTTGCCCTGCCTGGAGGGGTAGGGGAGCCGGGAGCAGGGCTGCCTCCTGTCTCTGGGCAGGAATCCCAGGGTGTGGGAGTTTCAGGCCATAGTGAATACCTGGGCTGACTGCCTCATCACATAGATGCTTTGTAGATGGAGGCTCAAAGCAAGACCGGGTCAGGCCCTAAGTCCTGGGGAAAGTCAGGAGAGCTGGGAACCAGATAGTGGTCCATCTGTTCCTGACATGTTGGCTTTGCTGGAGGGGGCACTGCCCACAGTCCTGCCCAAACTGCCCTCCATTCCCACCTGACAGTCGGGGCTGCAGCAGAACTGAGGCTTCCGGCTAGGTCAGCTGGGATCAAGACCACTAGCCTCCTGTACTCACCCATCCCTCCTACGTTGCATGTCCAGTCTTAGGACTAATGACAGGAGGGCCAGGCCCTGGTACGGGAATTTGGGGCTGTGACTGAAGGCCCGAGATGAGTCACACCAGCCACAGACATTTGTATTGTCTTCCTGTCCACCGGGACTCATTCATGGCCAGCCACACTAGACATCTGTCATCCCCAGTGTGACCCAGATGTGGGGAGGACAGGAGCAGGGCTGAGGACTCACCCCCTCTTCATCACTGCATGCAGACAGCACCTGGGGGCCCTCCTCACTTTCCAGAGGGAAAGGGAGGACCCAGCTGGGCAAGGGTTTCATGATCCAGCTCTTTCAGCCCCTCATCCAGCCTCCCGTGGGTCAGACATAGGATATCATGGTTGAGACTGCAAGCTTTGTCATCAGACAGCGAGTGCACAAATGCCAGCTTCTCTGATCACTAGTATTAGGGCTTGCAAGCATCATTTAGTCTCTCAGAGCTTCAGTTTTTATATCTGTATCATGGGGGAGAAAACAGTTGTGTGAGGGGCATTATCAGGTTAAATGCGATGAACAGAAAGCACCCAGCACAATGCCTGGCAGTGCTGCCCTTATCCCTGATCCCATCTCCCCCCCGCCCCCGTCTCTCCTACCCACGCTTCCACACATGGCCCCATCTGCAATCAGATCCAGCTCTTGGTTGCCAGCACAGAGTTATAAACATTATTTATTTAGAACTGGAGTCTCACCCTGTCACCCAGGCTGGAGTAAAATGGCACAATCTCGACTCACTGCAACCTCTGACTCCCGGGTTCAAGCGATTCTCCTGCTTCAGCCTCCTGAGTAGCTGGGATTATAGGCACGTGCCACCCCGACCAGCTAATTTTTTGTATCTTTAGTAAAGACGGGGTTTCATCATGTTGGCCAGGCTGGTCTTGAACTCCTGATCTCACGATCTGCCTACCTCAGTCTTCCAAAGTGCTGGGATTACAGGTGTGAGCCACTGTGCCTGGCCAATTATAAACATTTCATATCTTAAACTCAGTCTTCAGGCCCAAGGGAAACTTCTTTGTATCTCTTGAACAATTCCCTCAAAAGAAAAGTCACTGCTTTGCCCATGTCGCATCAGACATAGACACTGCTTGGAATGATGGAGAGGACTGGTGGCTGAGGCACTTGGGAAGGAGGAAAAGTGAATTCGTGTGTCAAATTATCATCAGACGGCATGGATGCTTACAAAAGGAAGTGCTCTTTTCCAGGAGTTGTAAGGCCCATTTCCTTGTGTGTCTTTAAGCGCCAGTTCCCGGTACTTGTGATATGATTGGCAACATCTGTAAGTGAAGGCTGAGGACCACTTTTTTTTTTTTTTTGAAACAACTCTATCGCACAGGCTGGAGTGCAGTGGCACCATCTCGGCTCACTGCAACCTCCACCTCCTGGGTTCAAGTGATTCTCCTGCCTCAGCCTCCTGAGTAGCTGGGATTACAGGCATGTGACACCACGTCCAGCTAACTTTTGTATTTTTTAGCAGGGACGGGGTTTCATCATGTTGGCCAGACTGGTCCTGAACCTCTGACCTCAGGTGATCCACCCACCTTGGCCTCCAAATGTGCTAGGATTACAGGCATGAGCCACCGTGCCTGGCCAGGACTACTTTTCAAAATCAGACTCTGGGACACCCTGTCTCAGAAAAAAAACAAAAAGTCCATGCATTAGAGAAGCTGGTTCAGGCGTCAGTTCTAGTGCTGTTTGCTGTGGGTTCAAGGTTAATGAATCAACAATATGCAGGTTATCAGTGGGCATGGTGGCTCACACCTGTAATCCCAGCACTTTGGGAGGCCAAGGCAGGTGGATCACCTGAGATCAGGAGTTCAAGACCAGCTTGGTTAACATGGTGAAACCCCATTTGTACAAAATTACAAAAATTAGCTGGGCATGATGGCAGTTGCCAGTAATCCCAGCTACTCAGGGATCACTTGAACCTGGGAGTCAGCGTTTGCCGTGAGTGGAGATCACAACTCTGCACTCCAGCCTGGGTGACAGAGTGAGACTCTGTTTCAAAAAACAAAAAAACAAAACAGCTTATCAATTAAGGTGTCTTTAACCAGAAACACACATAAAACAATCATTTTTGTCAATCAGTTGACAAAAGTGTGCCCAGAGCCTGGATGGAATCTAACCCATCGTTCCCCTAGAAGCGATAACTTGGTCTCAGATGGTCCAGCGTCTGTGGAGACTTTATTAAAACATAACCACCATGAGTCAGAAGAATCCATGGTACATCACCCCAACATTCATGAAGGGGAGCAGAGAGGTGCTTGAACTCTAGTGTTTATCCTCTCTAGAACTGGAAATACAGAGCATTGCCACCCTGACCATGCCAGCTCTGTGTGGGCACCTGGGTCCAGACAGTGTCAGCCTGCCTTCTTCCTCCCTGCACTGCTGGGCCAATGAGAGCTGGCATCCCTCACCCACGTACCAAACCCAGCACCATGAGGACGGCCTCTGTGGGAGGTCTCAGCTTCTCTGCCAACCTGCTGGATTCCTTGATCCATTCACAGAGGTATTGCTGTCCATGGGAGAACTGGCTAATTCCAGCCATGGGCAAAAGGGAATAGAAACCAGATTCAGGATGGGGGGCAGAGCATATGTGAGAACAGCCCCTTGCCTGCTGCTGTCCTCCTCCCAGTGCCCTAGGCTG